TATATATATATATATATATATATATATATATATATATATATATATATATATATAGTATATTTATATACTATATATAATACCTATATATATAACCTATATATATAAATATAAAGGTACTGTTGATCACAAACTAAAGAGAAGCTTTTTCGTTGATCCTTCTTTGCTTTAATGTCCAACATGCGGATTCTAATTTTCTATAGGAAAATATCAAATCAACTAGAAAATGTGCCAAGGTTTAGTTGTTGTGTAACTACAAAAATTAAGAAATGAGCAGATTATAAGTACTGCCTTCTGAAATGTATATATGTCTCTAACCTTTATATGTGTAATTAGGTAAACGGGTACCAATAATAGATCCTTGGTCATTTCAATATTAGTGTAATTTCTATGTAAATTTTACATAGAATTTTTTTTTTAACATTTGCGCAACAAAACAGTTTCCTTCATAAAGCTTCTCCTATTCTCTTTTACAGTTAATACATCTTTCAGTCAACTATCAATTGTATCTTCCTTTGCCACCTTTTCTCAATCTCAAATTCCCCTTCTTCTCTGGCTTACATGTCTTTACCTGTTTTCCCTCTTATTTCCCTTCTGAACACTCTCCTTACTTAGAATAGTTTTTTTTTCTGTCTAGTGACTATACTGCCCACAGTGAGGGAACAACCATAATGTAAAGATATGCTGTGTATTTGCATCCCTCTCTCTGATGGAACTGCAGATTAAAACAGTATGCTTTTCATGCTGAATCTTTTAATAATGGTGAAACGGGTTTCTTCTTTTACACATAACATTTTTGAACTCATACAGTATTTGATGTCTTATTGTGAAACTGAATAACTATCAAAATTATTTTGTATGTTACAGTTTATTGGAAAAGAATACCATGAATCTCTTGTGTGATCCTCTGAGTTTTGTATTAATAGCTGAATCACTTGCAGTGCCATATTTTTTATCAGTTGCCTGTTTCCACAGCAGCACTGCAGGGCTTCTGCTCCCTGTATTGTAGCTGAGCTGTAATTATAACAATCCCACCTCTGATGACTGGGTATTATCAGAGAAGAGCAATAAACACTAACGTAGCCATGCTCACAAACAGTTCTCAGCAGTGATCTGATAGCCTCTCTGGCTGTTTACAACTTACTTAGATGGAGAAAAACTTAAAGCTATTACCAGGTGAGCTTTTACACAGAGGGGTATAGTTGTTTTTCATCTGTAAAGGTTTAGCCCTTAGAGAAAGCTTTATTTTCACATTTTGGCTATGTATTTACTCTAGAAAATGATTCATCATAAACATAAACATCACAAAAAAATACTGCGAAAAAATTAGATTTTTAAGAAATTTTAAGTTTTCGAACCAGATTTACCTCCACACTGGTGTTACATTTAAATATCAACTCACATATGATTATTCGTTTCAAAACATCATTATCCCAATTTGTATTTTGTATGCCACCACAATGGCTCCAGAGTATATTTTACCAAAGTTATATTGAAACACTTTTTTTTTTTTTTTTTTGAGTATACTGTAGATCCTTGTCCTAATGCTGAACATTCAGACGGGCTTCCAACATTTGCATACTGAGTATCTTTCATCACAGACAGAGATTGAGACCAGAATTCCTTTCCGGTTATCTGCTATGTGTTAGGATTCTTACCTCACTCTGCTGCAATTAAATTGAACTGTAGACATATACAAAAAATAAATAAATAAATAGCTTTCTACATAACTGTTTTTCATCTGACTTGATTTCTAGACACTTTCATGGTGAGTGTAAGAATGCAGACCGAACGGTAAATTGAGAGATTTACCCTCTGGCTCAGTTTCTTCTTTACCATAACAGATTGTTGCAGAATCTGCAGCATTGTGGCAACTGCACCAATCCATCTATCAATCTCCTGTTCACTCTCCCCTTGCTTGTGAACAGGAATTTTAAGATACTTGAACTCCTTCACCTGAGGTAGGAACTGTTCTCTGACCTGAAGAGAGCAAGCCATTGTTTTCCAGTTGAGAACCATGGCCTCCAGCTTGCAGGAGCAAACTGCTCCAGTGTATGCTTTAGGTCTTGGCAGGAGAGGGCCAGCAAAACCATGCCATCAGCAAAAGGTAGAGAAGAAATCCACTTGTCCCCAAACCAGCCCCTTCAGGTTCTTGGCTGTGCCTAGAAATTCTTTCCATAAAAATTATGAATAGGACCAGTGACAAGGACAGCCCTGTCTGGGCCCAACATTCACCGGGAAAAGTTCCAATTCAATGGAGGCAACATGAGCCAGACTCCTGCTACACTTATACAGTTGCCAAAGGGCCACTGTGGGTGATCACCACCTGGTTTGGGCTTTGCCACACCGCAGATCTTTCTCCCAAACCCTGGGCAGCCACATTGACAATAGAGGTGGAGACCATGGCCTCCCCCCCAGAATCTGAGAGAAGCTCTCCTGGAGGTAGGAGTTAAACACATCCCTGACTGAGAGCTTCGCCATTAGTTGCCAGATGACCCTCATTATTTGTTTGGTCCTGCCAAGTCTGGCAAGTCTATCTGGCTTCTTCCTCTTTCAGCATATCCAACTGAGTTGGTGATCGAGAGGCGCCCCTCTCTTTATCTGGATGTCCAAAACCTGTAGCTGAAGTGTAGAAGACACAGCAACAAAGTCGATCATCAACCTCTGGCCTCAACCTCCTGTCTTTAAATATTGACAGGCTTGATTAATTGTTAACAAATTCATTGATATAAGCAGAGGAAGTCCTTCTTTGTCCTAGGCTGCCTTCTTGACCCTAGGCCTCGGAACAGCTTTAACAACATTGAAGTTAGGGTTTTTAACCTACTTATTAAAAAGCCACAGTCTCCAGGGATGTGCCTTCCGATGCAGCATAGCAGCTCTGAGAATCTTCCCCCCTGACAATTTCCTTGACAAGAAATACTCAGCATTATTAAATCCCATATTATGATATCCAATTATTCTTCATACAATCAAGCAGATGCTCTAGAGGAGTTCGCAGCACTTCTTTATTGGCTTGCTAAGCTTCTTAAAGTAATTTGCTCTGATACCAACAGATGATGGTAGAAGACATCACCCTCCAGAACAGACTTATAGAAGACATGCAGTATCTTTAAAAAAACACTAAGGGACATAAGTATCCTGCAAAATACAGTCTGCTCTGTCCCAGCCAAAATCAGAGAAAATGGGGGCAGTGTTTACTGGGTAGGGGTGATGTGGTCAAGGTAGGTGCTTCCTTAAGTGCCAGATTAACGTTGTCCTTTGTAGGACGGTGATTATTTAGACATACATAAATTAATTAAAATATCCCTTTTACCCTGATTTGAAAATGTGAAATACTTTACCACCTCAGTGTTCCCATGACAACATTAGGGGAGTGGCGGCCTAGTGGTTAGGGCATAGCCCCACTTGCTCTCTGAGCAAGACCCTTAACCCATGATTGCTCCCTGGGCACCGCATGATGGCAGCCCACTGTTCCCCAAGGGGGTGGGTTAATTGCAGAGATACAGTTCTCCAATATGAAACCATTAAATTTAATTTAAAAAAGCAAAAACAACAACAAAATAAACAGACTTGACATGAGAAGCAACTGTGAAGTTGACTGACTCAGTTACACCAATTATATCAAATATAAAGGGAAAAAAAAATGTAAGACTTTAAAGAATTTGAAAAAACAACTAAAAACTTCTCTCTTATTATTCTACAGATAATCTAGCTAATTCGAACAAAAACATGTATGTCTACTTTAATGAAAGCAACAAGAAGAAATGCTTCTATTTATGCAGTGACAATAAACAATAGTCGACAAATTACAGCTATCTACAACTATAATACTAAATAAAGAAAACTTGATCTATGTCAGCATTTTTTTTCCCCTTGGGGGTTATAATAGTGTATTTTGAATTACATTGGAGGTCCCCTTAAAAAAGTACCTGTATGAAACACCCTCCTGAAAACGTGTTGCAAATCAAATTTTTATTACATTTCTTCTTTTTTTTACAGGCAATTTCTTAGAATTTAGCCCCTTGAAATATTTCATGACTTTTGCTACAGGTTTCTTTTCATAGATACCAGCCATTTTTTATGGATTTTGTTAAATGTTAGTGTAAATTCTAACATGCATTAGAGGCTCCTACTGCACAAAATCATATCTTGTTTGACACATCTTTAAAAAAACTAAATTTAAAGAAAAATGTGTTGATCATTTGTTTGGGAAGGACAGAGTAGTTGAAGCACTGGATTTACTGCTGTTTTTTAAAACAAGAAGGAAAAGAGTGCCTTAAGAGACCAATATTAAATTTATGTACAATAAAAGGATTTAGCCCATGGTCTGTCTTGTTTGATTTGTCTTCTTTTACTTTCTCTTTATCAAATACAATTTTAACAATTTTGTTCTGTTTTTTCTTCTAAGTAAATTTCAGTCTGGCAATAAGCTGGTGCTTGCCATTACCACTGAGGCCTGTGAGCGGAAGGACAATTTCGTCCGCTACCTGGAGCATGTCCAGGCTGTAGTCACTGTCAATGCCACCCGCCGTGGGGACCTCAACATCAACATGACCTCACCAATGGGCACAAAGTCCATACTATTGAGTCGAAGGCCCCGTGATGACGACTCCAAAGTTGGATTTGACAAGTGGCCCTTTATGACCACCCACACCTGGGGGGAAGACCCCCGTGGAACCTGGATCCTGGAGGTGGGATTTCGGGGTGAGCAGCCTCAGCAGGGAGTCTTAAAGGAATGGACTCTCATGCTGCACGGAACACAAAGTGCTCCTTACATAGACCAGATTGTGCGTGATTATCAGTCCAAACTTGCAATGTCCAAAAAGGAAGAGCTGGAGGAGGAGCTAGATGAAGCTGTAGAGAGAAGTCTGAAAAGCTTGATGAGTAAAAACAACTGAAAGAAAAATATAATCTGCATGTTGACAATTCCTTCAATTTTACTTGTATTTTTAAGTCTCTCTCTAACCTCAGTCTTACTGCATCACATTTGTTTCTTTTTTGGGGGGGGTTCTCAGTGTTTCCCCCCTTCTGTCTCTTGCTCTGCCTCTGTCCTTTCTTTGTTTTTGTGATCAAATTTCCCTAAGCCACCTTTGATGAGTGTTTCTCCAAACAATCATGACAAAAGAATATCCTTGAACAGTTTATTCTTTTTAGAGAAAAGCAAAACTATATCACCAGAATTTTACATAAATGTAATGAATTGTATATATACCAAGTAGAAGCCAACCTTTCATGTTCTTGCTTTGATGCCCTGCACCTTCTATTGCCAAATGCTGTACAGTTATTTTTTTCTGTGACTGTTAATGATTTTCTGTCACATTCTACTTAAAGTTTAAACCTATTGCAAACAGAGCAGTGATACTTCTTTCCGTCTTTTTATTTTGTGAAAATTTTTGTAAACAAGGAAAAGAATGTGTGATTTATTTTGCAAAGTATGGTCATGAATTCATATTCTATAACCTTTGACATAATACTATAATAAACCTATTCAGCTATTTATTAAAGTATTTGAGTAATTTGAAGCATATCGCGTATTAACAAAAATGTTTTTGAAAATAAAGCATTTCTCTTTTTATTTGTTCAGTGTGCCAAACGATATAAATAAAATAATTTGATGAAAAAGGAAAAGAAATAAAAAAAAAGGGAAAAATCTGGAAAAAAAGTCAAATGAATATATGGTGCTTTGCAAAAGTTTGCCTGTCCTTTTTCACTGTTTGAACCTACAAGCCATTCAACTAATTATTTAAATTCAATGTGAAAGTAACACAAAGTAGCACAGAACTGTTAAGGGAAAGAAAAAATATAGCTTATTTTTTAACATTGCTCAGTTAAAAATGTATTGTGTCCCTCCCGAAAACATTCAGGTCCCATCTACTCCTAAATACCAGCGTTACCAATTGCTCTTAGAAGTCACCAAAGCAGTAAACTGTGTCCAACTGTGTATGTTTTAACCTTAGTATAAAGACAGTTCCGCAAAAGCCTAAGAACATATGTAAAGAAACAACATAACTGAGATAGAAGGCCACATCATATAGGCTAGTGATTAAGTTTATGAAAAGTTTAAACCTGGGTGAGATTATAAAACCAAAATCCAGGCTTTGAATGTTTCATAGAGCACATGACACTAAAACTATGAGATTTTTTAAAATTTGGCCCATGTGGGACTTGGCTGATGTTGCTGTTGTGGAGGCACAGCAAAGACATAGAAGGTTCTGTCAGATAACAATCTAAATTTTTTGCAAGCACATAAAAAAAATCATTGTGTGTGGCAGAAAACTAATACTGAACTTTGTCCTTAACAGCCAGGGAATGCTTTTCTTTGATAGGGACAGGATGCTAGCAGAGCTAATGTTAGGGTGAATGCAATTAATGACATCCTGGAACATAACCATGTTATGGTGTGTTAACACTAAATGCATTTTCAGAGATCAGAGGGATTGATTTGAATGTTATCACCATGCAGAGTAGTCTTCAGACGTGTGGCAATACAAAGCAATGCGACAGGTATGATTTTGCTGATTACTGCATAGCAGTGACACAACACCTGCAGAAGATGAACAACAATGGTCACTGTAGTTTTTAGTTTGAAAATCTGAACTATTGCATGCGGCGTGACAATTAATCAGGGCCTGGATAGGTCTGTGATGTAGGGTAAAGGGGAGACTAAGCTTTTTTTATTCACAATGGAAGACAAAAATGCCCTGCGAGGGACTGCCAACCTGGTATACCAGGTATACCAGGGTGTACCCTGCCTCTCGCCCTTAGACAGCTGGAGCTAGGCACCAGCACCCCTCGCGACCCCGCTTGGATAAGCATGACAGAAAACGGGTCGATGGATGGATTGAAGATTAAAATGTGTTGACATAGGATGACGTAAAAAACAAAAAAAAATAAAATAAACGTTTTAATTTAGCCTTTAAAGGACTGTCATCCTATTGTAGCTCCAGAGCTGGCCCCACTCATCTACCGTCTCTGCCCAGTATTTTGCTCTGATCTACTGCTGTCCTCTCCTAGCTCACCTCTGCCCTATTCAGGTCCACTCTTTGCCTTGGTTCTGTTGTGGATTTTTGCTTTGATTTCCTGCTGCTCCTGTCTAGGCTACAGAACAGTGCATCACCTTATCTCTATTGTCTGGGTGACCCTCCCCCAAGGTGGGATAGTTTTAAATCCTAAAGCAGTGAGACTGGTATCCATCCGTAGCTACTGGACTCCATTAACTGGTATCTAGAAGGTCTGCTGAATCCAGTGACATCTCTGCTGTTGTTTCTCTTTCCATAATGAATAAAAAGCACCATAACTCACTCAGTAAAATCCAAGTCCACCATGCTAAGTTTAAAGCAGACAAAAGCTCCATCTGTTTGATTCCGTAAAAATTCAAAAAATATCCACTGGACTCGGTTTTCAAGATTTGAAGACGTTTCGCCACCTCTGCAGGAAGCTTTCTCAATTCAAATGCCTGGATCCGCAGTGAGTTTGAGTCTTATATAGACAAAGCCTTGTATCGCTTGGAAACATGCAAATGGTAACGGATGAATGGGTCGTTTAGTTCCATCGTTAGCCTGTAATATCTGAACCTGTCTATGATTCTAGGGGTCGCTCTCTTTACAGCATCATCTGTTTGATGATGCTGTAAAGAGACAGGAGTGGACCTTGTCAATGGCATGTGAATTGCTGCCGATATGTCAGGCAAGCAAGAGGACTCAAATGTGTTGATTCTGTCGCTAGAATCCAATTCAGTGTGAACCCACCATTAAAGGGTGCTAAAGTCTTGAGACTGGGGCAGCAGGATACTGGCTCTGAAAAGTAAGATGTACAATGGAATATTTTTTGTCATAGTCCATATTTTAGCCTATTCAAAGCCCATATGTAAATCTTTTTAAAAATCTATAGTTTACAGCTGCTTAGGATACAATTTGACTGAACATAAGTGCCTTCGTAAAGAATAAGAGCTAACTCTTGCTCATACGGGGGAGTACTGTAGTCTTTCAGTTGGAAAGCAATGGGTTTGGTTCTGGTTTTCTCCTAGTCATGTCAGTGTGTATGAATACATGTGCACCTAAATGCAGCTTAACTTAAATGCGGTCAATATAAGCAGGAAAATACTATATAAGTTCAGTCCATTTAACAGTCAAGAATGGGAAAAACAAATCTGTCTCTAGATGTGCTGGGGAGGAGGAATATTTCAAAAGGCTTTCAAATGTAATTGCTTAGAAAGGTGGTATTGACCTAGATGTGCTGCATAAAAGTGCATGCTACACCTTTCAACTCTTCAATGAGGACATATTTGAAAACCATGCAACGTTTTCACTACTTCTCATCAGCGATTTGTACTACACTAAATCTCACTTTAAAGACATGTTTTTTTAAGGACATATTTAAGGATAATAACATTAAAACACAGTTTTAACAGTTAAAAGAAAAGCTGGTTTGAAAAGACAGAAACAAAGAAGAGCATATCTGTTTATTGGCTCCTCTTTGCCTTTTTTCAAACATTGTTTCTACATTTAAGTATTAAACGCATAGTGGTGGATGTTCTTTTTCCTGGCTGATCATCAAAATAAGTTCTCCTCCTAATTGTCAATCATTCTGGTGATATGATTAGTCGTCTGTCATCTGCAAAAATTAGAGACAAAATTAACTTGTCAACTAACCAGCCCCATCAGGCTTTTGGGTGCGCCTAGAACTTTTTTCTTGGGCCGTTCTACGTGCTCTTCCCCTGTTAGCTATCTTTTTTCTGTGCATGCGCATTTTCAGGTGTATATATGTGGTGAGCTACGGTTTCTGCCACATACTGAAGTTGCCTTTCTCACCTTGGTTCTTTGAAAATGGCCAAGGGTCGTATGTATGTTGCCCATAACTAATAACTGGCCGAGTATTTAACATCAATGTGTTGAAATTTTAGGCCAATGTTCTTCACAAAATTATTTTCTTTCAGCCATAATGAATAGTTTATACGGGTTAAAAGCCTGTTTAAGCCTCCTTGAAATGCCACCTTAACGTGGTGGAAGTGTTGTGTGCACAGATGATCTCAGAGGCTTATGTTTTCAGGGCTTAAATGCCCCAAGTAGGGGTGAGGGGTCAGACAAAGAGCAGTTCAAAAAGCCACCATGATAACGAAGAAATCAAGTCATGTGAGGTCATCTGGAACAGCGTAGCCCTCAGTCATGGAATTTCCGGGGAGGCTGGAGACTTAATCTGAAATGACCATGTTCTCTGCCTCCATTATCAATGTGGCTGCCCGTAGCTTTGGCTGCGGGGCCTGTCAAGACAGCAATCCCCGATCCTGCCGTTGCACACAAGCAGAAAGGGATGTTGTCAAGCTGAAGAAATAGTCTTATTGATCCTGGATGGCTTGTGGGACTCGTGGAGCAGCAAGCAGGTATCATGAGGCCAAGCGTGTCACTGCTTGGGCGGTTGCAGAGGTAAAAACTTGGACCCGTGAGGGGTTTGGAGATGACATGAAGAAGGGCTGGCCTCAAAGCAATTCCGCCAAATCATTTGACACACATCTGAAGGGCAAAGCAGTGCTTTTCTCACACGGTTTTCAGTTTTAGTGGGGAACTGCTAACCTTGAAAGAGGACATTGTTGGACAGTGAAAGGAATACTTTGTTGATTTCCTCAATCCGGCTGACACACCTTATATGATGGAAGAAGAGATGGTGGAGGCTTGGGGCTTCCAGACTGAAGTAATCGAGGTGGTCAAAAAACTTTACTGTTGCAAGGCTTTTGGGGTGGTTAAGATCCATCCTGAATACCTTAGATCTCTTTAAGTTGTCGAGCTGTTATGGCTGACATGCTTTCTCAATATCGCAGGGAGGTCAGGAACAGTGCCCCTGGATTGGCAGACCGTGGGGGTGGTTCCCTTGCATAAGAAGGGAAATGGGAGTGTGCGTTCCAAAACTCCTTGGGAAGACCTATGCCAGGGTGATAGGGAGGAGATTCCGGATGATGGACGGACCTCAGCTTCAGGAGGAGCAAAAGTTTTTGCCCAGGCAGTTGAACAGTGGTCTTGGGAGTCAGGGGCCTTTCTACTAAGGGCCATGCAGTCTCCATATAAGAGAAGCAGAACTTTGGTCTGCATTGCTGGCATTAAGTCAGACTTGTTCCTGGTACATGTTGGACTCTGACAGGGCTGCCCTCTGTCACCAGTCCTGTTAGTAACCTTAAAAAACAGGATTTTTAGGTGCAGCCAGCGGCCACAGCAGGTCTGGTTTGGGTCGACAGTATGAATGAGCTTATAGTCACAAATTGATGCCTGTTCATCCTCCTGCAGAATTTTTTAGAACCCAGCAGAATTCTAAATTTTATTATCCAGATCCTGAACTAGCAATGCAGCTCAAGAACATTACATTACTCAGTCTGTGATTTTTTTATTTATTTTTTTATTATTATTATTTGTATCATCCTTAGGTTTAAGATCTAATGGTAAAGTTTCCAGTGTTTCATATCTTTTTTCCTTTTTGCTTCAAAAAGCATATATATTTTTGTCAAATTAGTTATTTGGTTAGA